AAAACCAGAACTTCCCTCTTGGATATTTGTTGAAGCTCACTGTTTAAAGTACAGATACAATCAGACCAACAGAGCGAACACTGGATCTGCTTAACAACAGTCACCACGCCCTTTTTGAATAGCCTCCACCCTTTCAGCGTCGCTGGCTCGTGTTTTCAAACACAATAAGAACAAAGCTACTCTGTGAATAAAGGTCACAGATCTTGTTTATGCATACATCTCTGAAAAGTGGAAACTTTTAAATCTGTCTTTACATGAAGACAATCAGAACCAAAGTACAGATATAAGCACATATGAGTGTCTGTTGCTTCTTCTTCTAATACGTTCAGGCTTCATATAAACACATTATAGACCTGAATTAAGAATGAGGTTGTTTGGTTTGGTTGTGCTCACTGCTAACCATGTTCTGCCCGTCTCTGTACTTCACACATGTGATTGATATAAATGTCTCTGTTCGAACAGAAATATAAAATATTAAAATACTCCTTTGACACTGCTGAAACCAGTTCAGTCGTTCATGTGTTTTCCCATTTTCAGGCGTGGGTTCATCATGGGTGTGTGGAACTCCCACACCTCCGTGGGAAACATTTTGGGTTCCCTCATCGCGGGAGCCTTTGTCTCCTCGGCGTGGGGATGTCCTTCATCGTGCCCGGACTCATCATCGCCTCCACCGGAGTTCTGTGCTTCTTCTTCCTGGTTGAGAGTGAGTTTCTGCTCGACAACATGTTTCACAGAGGCTTTAGACAGTTTAGTCTGAACATGTTTTGAGTGACACAGTGGCAGTAAAGTCAGGAGTGTGACCTCGGGAACACACCTCCCTTCTTAATTACCACATGGTTACTTTCAAAACAGCAGCACTTATTGTGACAAACACATGTTAGATGTTTTACATTTTTACCCTTCAACACACCTCTGCTGCTGTTGTTTTTACTCAGTCTGTCTATATGTCACCTTTAATGTGCTACAGACATCAGTCAATTAGACAAAGCAGTCAGTAGAGTTTACATGGAAGGAAAGGAAGGAAGAGAAGGCTGCACAGGCCAAAATATGACTTCTTAAACAATTTATTATACCATTAGTAATATTTTGTATTTTCAATGGATCACAAGCCTCAAATAGTTAATTTACTGATTTTAAATTGTGAAAAGCAGCAAATCTTCACATTGGAGAAAATAAAATGTGTCTGCTGAATAAACAAATAATATTAATCAGGTATGAGATTGTTGGATATCAATGTGAAGTTGATCTCCTGATCTGTTTGTTGTTAATCCCTTTCTAACACAAAGTCGGATAATTCAACAGAATTTCAATTTCATCCAGCGGTAAAGATTTAGATGTGACGTGTTTAGACTAACAGCTGTGTTCACATGTTGTATTTTGTCACTTCTGGTCAAACTTGAACGTTGTTTTTTAAGCTCTCAGTTTCTGTAGATGGATATTTCTAAGTTTCACGTTCCCCTCTCTCCTATCCAGAACCTGAAGACGTCAACTGCACACCACCTCAGCACCATGTGAGTTCAAAACAGAAACAACTCGTACCTCTGATAATTCTTTCATATTAAAACAGTTTGAACTGATGCATGTGTGTGTGTTTGTGTGTTTAGACTGAAGAGGAGAGCGGGGACGGAGCCTGATCTTCAGACTGCTGTACATGTTGAAGGTACCAGCAATGGATACGGTTCCATCACCGCGGAGCCTCAGGAGGTTGTGGAGGAGCCAACCGAGGCCATCAGCTTCTGTGGAGCTCTCAGTATACCTGTGAGTAGAAACCATCTACTGTACATGTGATTTATGTTCTTTATTTGGTTTGAATGGGCTGGATTTGAAAATCATAGTAAGTTAGATTTTCAGTATTTGATGGATATTTTATTTGTAAAAGTAAAATTGATTAAAACAATAAATGCAGATGTATTAAATATTTTCTGAGTACATAGAGTTTGACAGATTTACTGTAATGTCACTATATTAAAGATGTGTAACTTCTCCGCCCTCTGGCGGTGGTGTGAAGAATTACACCGTGACACCTGGACCCAGCTGATCAAAAGTGATGTGATCGGCTTAAAGCTTTCAGATTGGATCAAATGTTGAGATCGTGTGGTTCAAAAAGAAAACAATAATGAAATCAAACTGGACCGTGCCATCCAGTCTTCCCATCCAGTTTGTGTTCTTTCAAATCTTACTTACAATCTTACAAATTGGAGAGTTACTAAATTGGTCAAACAAGATTTTTACAATGTTGAAGACGATTTAGATTTCTTTTTTATACATGTTGCACTTGAACTGCTGAATTGCTTCTGTGACGTAAAAGAGAAAGTAGACATTGGGGTTGTGAATCAAAGATTTTTGCTCCATTAAATAATTCACAAAATATCCGATCATTTCAAACATGAAATATTTAAAGCTCCTGTGGGTACCTTTCGAGTTTGGTCGATTATCACCATACGTGTGGGCAAAGCAGCACTGTTTCAGTGCCCCATGGCAGCAGTAACACCCATTAAAAATAACTATCACAATAATAAATCTTCTCTCTGATGGTCTTATTAATCATTGTAGGTCACCAAAAAAGCTTTTTGTATTAATTTCAGTCTGTTTTTTTATTATAACCAGGTTAATGCACGTCATTGGAACTTTAATTAAAGCAGCTGTGAGGAGCTTTCATTTTGTGTGGATTTTGACGCCCTGTGTGGGCAAATTTTGTCACCAGCGGTCCCCATGGTAATCTGGATTTGGTCATCCTGAAATGCCGGAAGCAGGATGAAGTTACTCCAATCCAGTTTTTATTTGAAGCTCGTCTTTCTGATCTTGGTTAGAAAGAAAGAACATTTCCAAATCATGATCATTCTTATCCTGATCAAAACTTTCAAACAGAGCCCTGGATTAGGTTTTTATCCTCCGTGTGCAATGAGAAATGCACTTTAAAATGACCGTTATAGAAACTTGTTTCATGATTTATAAGAAAGATTGACAAATAGAGATTCAGAGCTCTGGTGACAATAGACCCCTGCTATAGTAAGAAGACATTATGACAATGTATTATTTTAAGCGGGGAAAAAGGCAGAATCCTTTGTTATTTTACTTCTCCTATATCTTTTGCTGTGTGTCTAAGAACATCTCTTGCACATTATAAAGAAACCCTGATCAAATGTTCACCGTCCTCATGGTGGAACATTTTGTGTTTGTTTTATAATGTGCAAGAGATGTTCTTAGACACACAGCAAAAGATATAGGAGAAGTAAAATAACAAAGGATTCTGCCTTTTTCCCCGCTTAAAATAATACATTGTCATAATGTCTTCTTACTATAGCAGGGGTCTATTGTCACCAGAGCTCTGAATCTCTATTTGTCAATCTTTCTTATAAATCATGAAACAAGTTTCTATAACGGTCATTTTAAAGTGCATTTCTCATTGCACACACGGAGGATAAAAACCTAATCCAGGGCTCTGTTTGAAAGTTTTGATCAGGATAAGAATGATCATGATTTGGAAATGTTCTTTCTTTCTAACCAAGATCAGAAAGACGAGCTTCAAATAAAAACTGGATTGGAGTAACTTCATCCTGCTTCCGGCATTTCAGGATGACCAAATCCAGATTACCATGGGACCGCTGGTGACAAAATTTGCCCACACAGGGCGTCAAAATCCACACAAAATGAAAGCTCCTCACAGCTGCTTTAATTAAAGTTCCAATGACGTGCATTAACCTGGTTATAATAAAAAAACAGACTGAAATTAATACAAAAAGCTTTTTTGGTGACCTACAATGATTAATAAGACCATCAGAGAGAAGATTTATTATTGTGATAGTTATTTTTAATGGGTGTTACTGCTGCCATGGGGCACTGAAACAGTGCTGCTTTGCCCACACGTATGGTGATAATCGACCAAACTCGAAAGGTACCCACAGGAGCTTTAAATATTTCATGTTTGAAATGATCGGATATTTTGTGAATTATTTAATGGAGCAAAATCTTTGATTCACAACCCCAATGTCTACTTTCTCTTTTACGTCACAGAAGCAATTCAGCAGTTCAAGTGCAACATGTATAAAAAAGAAATCTAAATCGTCTTCAACATTGTAAAAATCTTGTTTGACCAATTTAGTAACTCTCCAATTTGTAAGATTGTAAGTAAGATTTGAAAGAACACAAACTGGATGGGAAGACTGGATGGCACGGTCCAGTTTGATTTCATTATTGTTTTCTTTTTGAACCACACGATCTCAACATTTGATCCAATCTGAAAGCTTTAAGCCGATCACATCACTTTTGATCAGCTGGGTCCAGGTGTCACGGTGTAATTCTTCACACCACCGCCAGAGGGCGGAGAAGTTACACATCTTTAATATAGTGACATTACAGTAAATCTGTCAAACTCTATGTACTCAGAAAATATTTAATACATCTGCATTTATTGTTTTAATCAATTTTACTTTTACAAATAAAATATCCATCAAATACTGAAAATCTAACTTACTATGATTTTCAAATCCAGCCCATTCAAACCAAATAAAGAACATAAATCACATGTACAGTAGATGGTTTCTACTCACAGGTATACTGAGAGCTCCACAGAAGCTGATGGCCTCGGTTGGCTCCTCCACAACCTCCTGAGGCTCCGCGGTGATGGAACCGTATCCATTGCTGGTACCTTCAACATGTACAGCAGTCTGAAGATCAGGCTCCGTCTCCCCGCTCTCCTCTTCAGTCTAAACACACAAACACACACACATGCATCAGTTCAAACTGTTTTAATATGAAAGAATTATCAGAGGTACGAGTTGTTTCTGTTTTGAACTCACATGGTGCTGAGGTGGTGTGCAGTTGACGTCTTCAGGTTCTGGATAGGAGAGAGGGGAACGTGAAACTTAGAAATATCCATCTACAGAAACTGAGAGCTTAAAAAACAACGTTCAAGTTTGACCAGAAGTGACAAAATACAACATGTGAACACAGCTGTTAGTCTAAACACGTCACATCTAAATCTTTACCGCTGGATGAAATTGAAATTCTGTTGAATTATCCGACTTTGTGTTAGAAAGGGATTAACAACAAACAGATCAGGAGATCAACTTCACATTGATATCCAACAATCTCATACCTGATTAATATTATTTGTTTATTCAGCAGACACATTTTATTTTCTCCAATGTGAAGATTTGCTGCTTTTCACAATTTAAAATCAGTAAATTAACTATTTGAGGCTTGTGATCCATTGAAAATACAAAAATATTACTAATGGTATAATAAATTGTTTAAGAAGTCATATTTTGGCCTGTGCAGCCTTCTCTTCCTTCCTTTCCTTCCATGTAAACTCTACTGACTGCTTTGTCTAATTGACTGATGTCTGTAGCACATTAAAGGTGACATATAGACAGACTGAGTAGAAAACAACAGCAGCAGAGGTGTGTTGAAGGGTAAAAATGTAAAACATCTAACATGTGTTTGTCACAATAAGTGCTGCTGTTTTGAAAGTAACCATGTGGTAATTAAGAAGGAGGTGTGTTCCCGAGGTCACACTCCTGACTTTACTGCCACTGTGTCCTCAAAACATGTTCAGACTAAACTGTCTAAAGCCTCTGTGAAACATGTTGTCGAGCAGAAACTCACTCTCAACCAGGAAGAAGAAGCACAGAACTCCGGTGGAGGCGATGATGAGTCCGGGCACGATGAAGGACATCCCCCACGCCGAGGAGACAAAGGCTCCCGCGATGAGGGAACCCAAAATGTTTCCCACGGAGGTGTGGGAGTTCCACACACCCATGATGAACCCGCCTGAAAATGGGAAAACACATGAACGACTGAACTGGTTTCAGCAGTGTCAAAGGAGTATTTTAATATTTTATATTTCTGTTCGAACAGAGACATTTATCATCAATCACATGTGTGAAGTACAGAGACGGGCAGAACATGGTTAGCAGTGAGCACAACCAAACCAAACAACCTCATTCTTAATTCAGGTCTATAATGTGTTTATATGAAGCCTGAACGTATTAGAAGAAGAAGCAACAGACACTCATATGTGCTTATATCTGTACTTTGGTTCTGATTGTCTTCATGTAAAGACAGATTTAAAAGTTTCCACTTTTCAGAGATGTATGCATAAACAAGATCTGTGACCTTTATTCACAGAGTAGCTTTGTTCTTATTGTGTTTGAAAACACGAGCCAGCGACGCTGAAAGGGTGGAGGCTATTCAAAAAGGGCGTGGTGACTGTTGTTAAGCAGATCCAGTGTTCGCTCTGTTGGTCTGATTGTATCTGTACTTTAAACAGTGAGCTTCAACAAATATC